GCTCTGCGGTGGGGAGGATCGAGAGCAGACGGGATAAGATACCCGCAGAGGATAGGATACGGGATGGGCGACTGCGAGAGGCAAACGTGTGTGAGAGGCGAACGCGGGGATGAAATCTCCCAACGGCACGAAGAAGAAGCGAGCTAGGCAATCCAACGAGCCATGCTAGGCCAGAGGTAGGCCCACGGATGTCACAGATGCGAAAGAATGAGGCGGGGAGGGAGATAGATTTAGGTTAGGGATTTTAATATAAGTTATTAATTATAATAATGATAATAACAATAAACTATTATTTATTATTATAATAAACACTTAAATAAGAATTTCACCAATCGTATCAAGATTGCGGCTCTAATTCGATTAAACAGGATGGCGAAGAGCGCAGCGGCGCCAAATCAACGACTAAAGTCAATCCTAAGGCCGGCAGTCCTGTAGGAATGCTCCCTGAGTTCCGTCGGAGTAGCATTACCTGCTAAGCAATAGCGGTCAAGACTACTACATGGAACGTCAAATCGAGCGAAGAAAAGTCCAGAATTGCTGACGGGGAGGGCTCCTTCACTAGTTTTCTAGGAGTAGTCGGCAGAAAGTTCCTACGGCTAAATCCTAGACTACTAAGGACGGGAAAACTACACCTCGACCGAAAGCAAGGTCAACATGTAAGGAAAAAAATAAGGATACCAGCCTTCACTAAAAGAATAGAATGGGAGTACATCACCAGCCCACCAAGCAAAAAAACCACACAATCAAAACACAAACAATCAAACAAACAGATAATTTCAATTTTTATTTTTATAAATAAAAAACCATCTAGCCTAGGTTTTCAATATGTTGATAATTATTACAATTTTGCATGATCATGCAGTATCAGTCAACGTGGATGAAGTAAAAACCGGGTAACAAGTGAAAGGAGCCCCCTCATGGCCTTCTAGGCCATAAAATGAAGGATCAAACTTTCAAGTGCAACATCAAGGAAGGTCCTCAGGTGGAGATGACTACATGAGGAATCATCTCAAAGTAAACTACTACGTGAAGTTTTTATCAAATAGAAACAGGCAAGCACATAGAGAAATGACATGCAAAAACAAAAATAAATATGGATTCAATATGTTGCCTAAGTCTGCAAGTTAGTAAAGGGGGGTGTTTGCATTATGGAAAATGAAAAATGTACAAGATTGATTCATCATGGTTGGGAGATGTTAGGAGAAGTAAATGCATGAGATTTGCTGGCAAGTGATGTTGGCAGTCCATTGTCCACTTGAGAGAAGTGCTCATGGAGGGAGATGTTGGAGACGTGAAGGATCACAGCATTGAGGGACACATGTTGTTATTGAAGTAGCTAGATATGTGCCAGCGAGGCATGACCCCCATGTCCAATGAGATGATTTAGAAGATCTAAAAAAAATTGCAAGGATTTATGGGAATCTATCTATGGCATCTCTGGCCAAACAGTCTAAAAGAAGGCTTGTAAGGGGAGAACAATTGAAGAGTCAACAAAGCCCATTAAACTAGGACAGTCATCTCAAGGGTAAGGTAAAAAAACAATAAGAAAAGTTCTCACTTGTCTGAAATGTTCAGTTGTCGACAAAGTGTTGATCTCCTGAGGAGGCTAAGAAGCCAAGAAGCAATGATTTAATGTTAGGATGTGTACTTGAACTTGAAAGTCAAGACAATGGCTCAACTAGGTGGATCTCCAGCTCTATCAAGTGGCATTAATTCTTGTTGATGGACAGGGGTTAAAGAAAAACTTCAGAATTGAGCCGCAAATACAGTCAAATATCGAGCGGACCTTTATAGTAGTATAGAGAAAGGGTGATCTCAAAAGTCGAGCATAATCAGTTGAAGCACTAGTTGGGCATCAACTTAACGGTCATTGATCTGAGTAACAATCCATATAACGTAAATATCTGATCTGAGCAATCCTCTGTGTAGATATACTTATAGACGTCTAAAATGAAAAGTACCAACCCAAGTTTAGCACTCTTCCAAAATGTAAGCGTGTTTTAACCTTAATGGTCAAGAATTTCCTTCAGTATATGCCACAGAAGCAAGCAGAGGTATCTCGTAAAATCCTTGCAACCAAAACGGATTAGGTTTGCACATCAAGATAAATATCAGAAGGTATCACCTGTGGGCCCAAGTTGTGGAGAGAGATAGTTTTCCCAAATCATGCAAGGTTGAGCCAAGGATATCCTAGAGTGGATCTAGCACAGTTGGGTTAGAATGGATTCAAGCTAACATGAACCAAAATGGAGTCAGGTAAACCTATAAGCTGGAATTGGTCTAGGTAAAACTCATAAGTCTGCATGGAACAAACACTCAGAGAAAGGGATGGATGACATGGATTTGACTATGTGAATAATTCAAATTGGACTTGACAATGATCATCGAAAAATAAACTATAAACAAATCATTCAACCAAGTGAGTATCACCTGCCTGATTGATGCAAATGTTTGATCTAGGCTCTCTGCATATTTTAACAGCACGTATGTCAGGCCTGGCTCAACCCAATTATGGTCATTACAATTACTAATAGGATTAAGAGAGTTGAAAATACAATAATAATGACCTATTCAAATTTTAATGGCATTCGTTTAAAAATTTTGAAAATATTTATTATTTCCACAGTTCGACTTAAGTTTTAATGGTCAAAATTATTTGGCTCCAATGAAAAATTATGTTTTCTCATATTATAACATTCAAAATTTTAGAAGGAGAGTTCAGCTTTTGATATTCTTCAATGAGATAGTTTTAACTCGCCAAATTTTTAATTACATATAAATATGAGAAAACTCCAAAATAAAATGTAGTATTATCATGAACAATCAAATGTTTTACTTCACTCTATTTCATTATCCATTAGTATATAATATATAGAAAATAGAATTGAGTAAACAAGGCAAGTGTTTAAATTTAAGTTATTTATGGTTGATTTGTTTGATTGATTTACATAAGGATTTTAGTAATACATTTAAAGGATTTGTAGAAATCCATGTATAGATTTGTCAGGCATAAATAAATATATCATGATTAAGTTTTGGGAGAACATCATGGCACGTAGGTTTTACCAAAGGAGGATGAAGCTTTGACTATACAATGAGGTGGAGACTTAGTTTGGGGTGTTCTCCCTTCTTTTTTTAAATGTGGGTAAGGTGGACATTTTAATGAATTGTTATTAATTGATAGTGGTTGCGATCAAATCTTAAATCCCTACTAAAATATAAGATGGTTTAGCTTTGATATTGGTTGGTGTCCAAGTAGAAGCAAAAATACACTCTTTATGCCAAGAGCATTTGATTGTTTAATTATGTAGACAATAACTCGCATTGTCATTGAAAAGCCTTGTATTCAAAGTCCTCCGTATATGGGAAGTAAAACATGATGAAGTTGGTGGAATAACAGACCAAGAAAGAGAAAGAGAGAGAAGAAGAGGCAAGAGAGAGAGGGCAACAAATTATTGGGGAGTGGGATTAGAGACCTTTGATTTTAATTTCCCTGTATTCATATCATTATACTTCTTTTACAGGCATCTTTTATTTATAACAAAAAAATCATCTAAGGAAATTAAAATAAAAAAATGAGAAAATATATAAGCAATCAACAAAAATACTATTGGATCCTTATAAAAATAAATCCTTTGTGAAAGAATCCTCTCAATAAGATAGCTAAAGATGACACATTTATTATGTAATTTATCAAAAAATAGATAGGTGATGATGAATATATAAAAAGAAGATAAAGATATGTCCTAATAATATAAATGTTAGCATGATACTGTAAGTGAGGTATTAAGGTTTGGTTTAAAGAAAGAAACTCCCATGATAAGCCTTAAAAAGAGGGAGATAGGGAAGAGAGAAGAAATATAAAGAGTAACTTCTTTGGATTCACTTGAATTGATTGAATTTTCTATTCAACAATAAAACTTGGTTGGAAAATGATTGAATTTTGCTGAGTCCTGATAATCTTCAAGTCATACCCCAATTCCCACATCATTTATCTAATGGGCATCACATTTTTAGTAAATAAAAAGTGTAGCCTAGATTGTAAAGAGCATTTTAATTAAAATAGTCGATTGATAAATAACAAAAAGCTAGTCCCAAGTTTGCAACATCTGGATGAAGGAAAGATAAGACAAAAAAAATGGAGATGTGAAGTAGAAACTACAATGAAAACAAAATTAAACTACGGAAGATGTGAGCATCATGCATATATCTACAGCAAATAAATGAGCCATTAGCTCAAAAATCAAATGATAAACCGGAATATCAAATGAAAAAGCAAAGAGTAAAACATGATAGCCTGCGGCATCTTGCTGCACCTCCTTCGAAGTCAAGCACCATAAGCAAGATTTAATCCATCGTTAGAGGCTTGAAAAATAGCTTCTTTCCCCTTTGCAGATGCATAGAGATCAGGAAATGTGGCTACCAAAGAACAGAAGACTTTCTCCCTCTCTCTCTCTCTGTCGGAATTTGAAAATTAGCACCAAAAGTTAATGCCTTGCAACTGAATTATCATCAAACTAATCAAGCTTCCACCAAGGCTTGGAAACTCTCTGGCCCATCAAATCTTCACATCCATCAGAAGCGCTCTCATATCCTGGATCTATGTCTTCCCATTTACTCCCATTACATTCGCTTTCATTAGGTTCCGACTCTGGTTCATACCGCCACTCCAATTTCTTTAGCAAATCCCTGTCATTCCACCTTACCACGGCTGAAGGCCCCTCCTTCCTTGCCTTCCCTGAAACCACCTCCTTCCACGAGAAAGAAGCATCAGCGCACCTCTTCAGCGCGCCGTCCCCGTCATCACCAACCACCACCGTCTTCATGCACCTCATCCTTGCCTCCCTGATAACTCCGACAAATCCGGTGTCATTTGAAACCAAAACCAAGCAGCCAACTCGTCGCCTATCCATAGTCTCCGCCATGTGCTCCCTAAGCGCCCGATCAGCCGCTTCCGGCCTATCCTCCACAATCCGTACTGAAACCCCCGCCCGTTGGAGCTCGTCTCCGAGGCCATGCCCGACCCTAGGTATCAAAACCTCCCTCGCCGCCTTCCTGAACTTATCCATCTTTAAACTGAGCTGGGCTTTCAGACGGACATAGCGGCCGCCGGTGGCCGAGTCGAGTCTGCGGAGGGGCGTCTCGTGGTCGCG